TTTTGGCTGATATAAGGTTTTAAACTTGGTCAGATGGACAGTTTTTACAGTTTTTACAGTTTTTGGCTGATATAAGGTTTTAAACTTGGTCAGATGGACAGTTTTTACAGTTTTTACAGTTTTTGGCTGATATAAGGTTTTAAACTTGGTTAGTTGGACAGTTTTTACAGTTTTTGGCTGATATAAGTTTTTAATCTTGGTTAGTTGGACAGTTTTTTCAGTTTTTGGCTGATATAAGATTTTAAACCTTGGTTAGATGGACAGTTTTTACAGTTTTTACAGTTTTTACAGTTTTTGGCTGATATAAGGTTTTAAACTTTGGTTAGTTGGACAGTTTTTACAGTTTTTGGCTGATATAAGGTTTCAAACTTTGGTTAGTTGGATGGTTCTTACAGTTTTTGGCTGATATAAAGTTTTAAACTTTGGTTAGTTGGACGGTTTTGACAGTTTTTGGCTGATATAAGGTTTTAAACTTGGTTAGATGGACAGTTTTTACAGTTTTTACAGTTTTTGGCTGATATAAGGTTTAAAACTTGGTTAGATGGACAGTTTTTACAGTTTTTGGCTGATATAAGGTTTTAAACTTGGTTAGATGGACAGTTTTTACAGTTTTTACAGTTTTTGGCTGATATAAGGTTTAAAACTTGGTTAGGTGGACAGTTTTTACAGTTTTTGGCTGATATAAGGTTTTAAAACTTGGTTAGATGGACAGTTTTTACAGTTTTTACAGTTTTTGGCTGATATAAGGTTTAAAACTTGGTTAGGTGGACAGTTTTTACAGTGAAGTGTCTGAGGAAGCTCCCTGATGCTCCTCTGTGCTCAGATGTTACCTCCAGCTGTGAGACCTGCTGCTTGGTGACTTGTTCCAGCTCCTCCAGCAGCTGAAGGAGCTGTGCTGCTCTGGAAAACACCAGAAGTTTCTCTGCTCCTTCTGGGAGGTGCAGGTCCTGTTTGCAGTGGTCTACATCCTGCAGGCTGCTCCTCATGGACTGCAGACTGGTCAGGATCACCTGGAAGATGGAGAACCTGAGCTTTAATACTGAACATGTGGGTCAGAGAAGCACAGAGATYTGAGGTGCTGTTCTTCATCATGAACCTGTTGAGAAGCACAGGAGGAACATCATGTCCACAGCTGTCAGGTCAACAGGTTTGGACTTGTCTTCTTCTGAGTCTCACCTGTCGGTCCTGAAGGTGTTCCAGCAGGGTGATGTGTGTGACGTCCATCGAGGATAAAATGCTGCTGATTTTTGTGATGTTCTTCTCCATCTTCTTCAGGTCTGCTTCAGCCTGACCCACCACCTGAAGGACACATCATGAAGCTCCTCATTCTGTGTCCCTTCATGTGATCCATGGAGGAGTTCTGAAGGTTCTTACAGCTGCAGCCTGCAGGACGTGGTCCAGAGGCTCCATGCTGCTGCTCTGCATCCTGTGGACCTCCTGCTGGCTCTGGTCCAGCCTCTCCTCCAGGGTGCTGACGTCACACACGCAGGAGATCTCAGCCAACACGGACCTGAAGTCCTGCAGGGTGTGGCTGATCCTCTCAGAGTCACTCTGGATTAACTACAGAACCAGAACCAGAACCAGCTTTGAACAAAGACCAGAAGAATCTGATAACAGATTATTTAAACAGGACTGAATCTGTGTCAAACATGATTTATGTCCAGGTTTTACTGAGGAGTTAAACTGATTAAATCCAGAACCTGAGGGTTCTGACCGACTTCCTGCTTCAGGAGTTATTTTACTAACACTGATGCACAGAACGAGCCTGACAACAGCTGAAGATCTGACAGAATGTTTGCTCTTTAGCTACTTTAGCTGTGTCACCTTCAAGTATTTAGCATGGTTGTGGAGACTTTTAGCTGTTGTGAAGGAGCAGGGAGAAGTGAGCCAGGTGTGGGCCTCAGAGACCCAGCAGGCAGCTCTGTGACTCAGGTCCTCCAGCTCCTGGAGACAGGCAGGGATCTGAAGGAAACACAGAAACCTGCTCAGAGTCCAGTTCCTGCAGAGCAGCCGTCTGAACCTTTCAGAGACACACTTTGCTGAGGAAGACGGTGCGCTGCTCGGCCCGCTGCGCTGCGTTCTGGTACCGCTGCTGTGGTTCTGTCAGCTGCTCCATCAGAACCTGGGCTTTGTCTGGATGCTCCTCTGCCACGTCCTGAACTTCACTGTCCAGAAGAATCAAGCTGCTGTGCCAAACATCCAGCTGGTCCCACACACACTGCAAACAAACACACAACCTCAACACAARCAGCATGTTTTTATTAAACTAAAGTTAAAGGTTTGTTTGGACTTGTGTCATCTTAARATTTTTATTTTTAACTGAAGCACAGAGAGCAGCAGAGGCTGTGAAATTAACCATCAACTCACCTTGAGGACATCCTGAGCTTCACTCAGGGTTGAGCTTCTCTGCTCCAGCAGAGCGGTCACTGTGTCCAGAGCAGAGCAGAGAGCTGTCACTTTATCCTCCAGCTTCGAGACCGGGCCGCTCCTCTCCACCAGCTGCTGGAACAAACAGAAACACCAACATTCACCAACAACAACATTCTGTAGCTTTAATGTTCCAACAGGCTTGGTTTGGATGATTTATCATCACCGCTTCTTCTGCTTCCTGTASAGACAGCTGAACTTCTTCTAGCTGCTGTCCAACATCAGCAGGAGCTTCATCAGGTCTGCTCTGTGAGCCGTCACTGATGGACTTCAGCTTCAGACAGGATGAACGTTGCTGCGGCTGCTTTCAGGGACAGAACCAGGAGAAAACTACTGTAAAACTGCAAACATCAAGTCGTGTTGCTGAAAACTTCAGCTGCTGAAATATGAGCTGAAAAGGTTTAACAGAAAAACTGTTGAAGCTAATTCAGTCTGAGAAGATCAAAGAAGCATCAAAGAGTTTAAGAAAGAAGCTAACAGGCTAACTTCAACAAACAGCTAAACAGTGGCTAAAGCTGCAAAAAGCAGCTAAACAGTGGCTAAAGCTGCAAAAAGCAGCTAAACAGTGGCTAAAGCTGCAAAAAGCAGCTAAACAGTGGCTAAAGCTGCAACAAACAGCTAAACAGTGGCTAAAGCTGCAACAAACAGCTAAACTGTGGCTAAAGCTGCAACAAACAGCTAAAATGATGACACAACTGACAGACAAAAAGCTTAAATGATCTTCATGAGTTGTAGAAAAGGTGATCAGACCTGGGTTCTGCTTGGATCTGGACCTGCTTCCAGCTGTGGTGGAACAAGAAGCAGGACTTTCTCCAGCTCTCCCAGGTCCTGCTGGATCTTCTGGGTCTCCTGCTCCTCTGCCTCGGCTGCAGACAGAAGCTGCAGGTTCTTCTGCTTCAAGCTGAAAGGAAACAGCTTTAAACATGGTTCCATCAACAGATTCTCCTCTGACGGTCATAATCCCACCTCCTGACGTTCTCCTGGATCTCCACTAACTTCGGACCAACAGGTCCGGGGCCGGTGGACTCGTGGGGGGCCGACAGGTGGAGGGAGTGTTCCAGCCAGTGCTCCATGGACAACAAGGCCTGCTGCTCCTCAGGTTCCTCCTGACTGAAGCTGGAGCAGTGTGGAGGCTCCGCCTGCAGCCTGGCCACGTGGCTGCAACCCTGCTCCAACTGAAGAGCACACCTTCAGATTATCTGCTGATAATCTGCAGCTCAGACCTTCAGATAATCTGCTGATAATCTGCAGCTCAAACCTTCAGATAATCTGCAGCTCAAACCTTCAGATAATCTGCAGCTCAAACCTTCAGATAATCTGCAGCTCAAACCTTCAGATAATCTCACTCTGCAGTTCAAACCTTCAGATAATCTGCAGTTCAAACCTTCAGATAATCTGGAGCTCAAACCTTCAGATAATCTGGAGCTCAACCCTTCAGATAATCTCAGTCTGCAGCTCCTACAGGAGCTTCAGCTGAGACGTGTTGTTTTCTGCCTCTCTTCCTCTTGATGTTTTCAAACATCTTCGATGTTTTAAAGGATTTTTTGAACTTTTCATCATTTTTTATTCTCTGTTTTCAGCTTCGTTCAGTTTCTGWTGATGTGAGTTTGTTCTTGTTTTATTCTGTCATTCCAACACTTGTTAAACTGTTTCTGCTTCTTTATGCTAATTTCAGCAGTTTTAGCTGTTTTACAACAAACTTATGAACTTTTACTTGTGTTTCTCTCCTTTCACCAACTGTTCATTTCAAGGTCACAGAAGAAAAGGTGAAGGTCACAGGTCAGTCGTTATTTAGCTTCTTGTAACAACTTTACTCATTTCTGCTCATTTTAAATACATCTCTGTTCTGTTCAGCTGTTTTGACACATTTTAGCTTTTTTTAACTGATTTTTCACTTTTGTTTTTCTACTTTTAGCCGAKGTTTTCTGTTTAAATTGAACTCATTAACAGTTTTTTTATTAAAGCTTTTCCTCTTGACTTTCAGCACAAATCTTTCTGCATTAAGAATCACTTTGTYTTTAWGCAGGAAATGCAGATTAGGTTTATTTTGATATATTTCTCAGTTTGACTAAATGAATTAAAATGTGAATCAGATTTTTTAATTAATAACTGATTTGTGTTGGAGTTTGAAATGATTTCTGGATGTTATACTCACACTCCTGGTGATGTCCTTCCATTCCTCCCCTCTCTGCTCTGTGTGGACCACCAGGAGGCCCACAGCTCTACGTAACGACACCCAGCGTCTCCAGAGGACGCCCAGCTCACCATCCTCTGCAGCCCTGCAGCCCTGCAGGGGGCACCCAGCCCCCAGCTCCTCCATCGTCCCAATGAACCTCTGAAGATCTTCCTTCAAAAGCTTCAAAATTTAATGAGGTGGAATTAAACCTACATGTTATTTAKCAWGYCTTTCCTKCATGWTAATCAGTTAATCAATCAGGTCCATGTTAATCAGGCAACAACTGTACGTACCACAACTCTTCTCTGCTGAGCAGAACATTCATCAAATGATGTCACCTGCTCTGCAGCCAGCTCTGAACGTCTGCTTTCAAACTCTAAAACTTGTCGTTGCAACTTTTCACGACTCCGTCTGCGGCTCTGCTGCCTCCTTTCACACCTTTAGGAGAACATTAATCAAATATAAGTAAGTGCAATATAAACAGGTATTAGCAGTGATATAAACAGGTATTAGCAGTGATATAAACAGGTATTAGCAGTGATATAAGCAGGTATTAGCAGTGATATAAGCAGGTATTAGCAGTGATATAAGCAGGTATTAGCAGTGATATAAGCAGGTATTAGCAGTGATAATAAACAGATATTAGCAGTGATATAAACAGATATTAGCAGTGATATAAACAGATATTAGCAGTGATATAAACAGATATTAGCAGTGATATAAACAGATATTAGAGTGA